GTCTACTATATAATATACTACCTTTTTACTTTCTTTTCTTCCTCTCTCTCTCTCTCTCTCCCTGTATCACTAATGGAAGGCTGAGATTCTCTCTTGCTCCCTTGTCTCCAACCTCAGGACTATTACTTAGTTCAAGTGAAAACAATGAGGAGTTCTTGTGGCATCTTAGAGACTAATACATTTATTTGGGCATAAGCTTTCATGGGCTAGAACCCACTTCATCAAATGCATGGAGTGAAAAAAAACAGTAGGCAGGTATAAATATACAGCGCATGAAAAGATGGGAGTTTCCTTACCAAGTGGGGGGTCAGTACTAATGAGACCAATTCAATTAGGTGAATGTGGCCCATTCCCAACAGTTGACAAGAAGGTTGGCATACTATGAGGCCATGTGGGTACCCATAGCACTGTCGCTGACTTGAAGGTATAAATCATCCCCAAATCTGAAATAGTTGTGGGTGAGGACAAAGTCACAAAGCTCAGCCACCAGGTTTGCTGTGACATAGTGTTCCTGATGGCTTGTAGTCCATCTTTTTGTGGAATGTTGTTGTAGAGATGGTTCTACATGCATAGTGGCTAGGATGGTGTTTTCTGGAAGATCACCAATGGATTATAGTTTCCTCAGGAAGTCAGAGACAGGCCAGTCCTCACTTACAGACAGCCCCCCAACCTGAACTCACCAGCAACTACATACCACACAACAGAAACACTAACCCAGGAACCAATCTCTGCAACAAATCCTGTTGCCAACTCTGTCCACATATCTATTCAAGGGACACCATCATAGAATCCAACCACATCAGCCACACCATCAGGGGCTCGTTCACTTGCACACCTACCAATGTGATATATGCCATCATGTGCCAGCAATGCCCCTCTGCCATGTACATTGGCCAAACCGGACAGTCTCTACGCAAAAGAATAAATGGACACAAATCAGACATCAAGAATTGTAACATTCAAAAACCAGTAGGAGAGCACTTCAATTTCCCTGGACACTCAATAGCAGACTTAAAAGTGGCCATTCTTCAAAAACAGACTTCACCGAGAAACTGCAGAACTGAAATTAATTTGGAAACTTGACACCATCAAATTAGGCCGGGGAGTGGCTGAGTCACTACAAAAAATTATTTCCCCTCTATTGATACTCACCCCTTCTTGTCAACTGTTGGGAATCGGCCACATCCACCATGATTGAATTGGCCTCATTAGCACTGACCCCCCACTTGGTAAGGCAACTCCCACCTTTTCATGTGCTGTATATTTATACTGCTTACTGTATTTTCTACTCCATGCATCTGATGAAGTGGGTTATAGCCCACAAAAGCTTATGCCCAGATAAAGTTGTTAGTCTCTAAGATGCCACAAGGACTCCTCATTTTTTTTGCTGATACAGACTAACACGGCTGCCCCTCTGAAACCTTAGTTCAAGTGGTAAGGGCTACTTCAGGTATGTCTAGACTAGAGTATTTGCCCCTGTTTTAACTTAATTGTTGCCAGTTAACTCAAGTTAGCCAACTGGCTTGTAAATGCTAATCTAGATGCTCCACAAACATGTGTTCTGGACATACCCTTGAATTAAAGGAGAAACTGTATTAGCTGAGACCAGTGCTCATGACAGGTTATTTCCTAGGCATTATCTTTCCACCAAAGGACAAATGAAGTCCCTTTGAAGCATTTCAACTGAGTCAGACTGAGACCAACCATTAAACTAAGTTGTCCTGCACTGCATAGCAGGGGTAGTCCTACTTGGTGGTGGCTTTTAGTGCTGCTCTCAATTTATTTTCTTTTTGGATAAGGAGCCTCCAGAGCCTCATGTGTATTGTCCATGGAAATCTGCTCCTTCTCCTTAAAGATTCTGCCTTCATCTAGTACATAGTTACTGGACTGGGGACGGGTGGGCATATTGCAGTACCCAGGTGAATCAGGAATAAAACTTTTCATATCCCTGTTGAATTATCAAACAAAGAAAAATTTTGAGGGGCAAGAACCCCAGCTCTAATGGAATATGATTCAGAGCTGTACAATGAACAGATAATCTGCTGCATTCATGAGAAAATACAGTAACATCATCAAAGGAAGGAAAATGGTAGGCATGAGTAAACCACAAAACCACCCTCCCGGAAACAGAGTTAAAAACATGTTTAGGAGATCTTTTATTTACTACTTCACAAATTGCTGATGACTGTAGCACCAAGTGTTTCAAATGAGGTTTTCAGTCATCCACATTAGGAATCCGAAGAAAATGAAGCCACTTGTCGTATTGTTTATGATTTCTTATTTTATTCAACTCACAGGTAAGATTTTTTTTCTGGGGTCTTCATGCTGCAAATTGATTATTGCAGGAAGTGTTAATTCTTAAAGCAGGTAATAAAAAGAACATGAAACTGTCAATTCTTGACTTTTAAATAAAAATTGCTGTCTTATGGAGGAAAACAGAATAAATTAAACAAAAGCTTAAAAAGGCACAGATTAAAAAACTCAGAATTCATTTGATAAAACACATTAAAATGAGTTTTTATTTGTGTACTGTACCTAATTTTATATTTTAGCTAATATTCTACTATATCAGTGTTTATTTTCATTTATATTACTATAACCAATTTGATAAAGCATCCATAATAACTAATTAGATGACTGATCCAAATTTAATAAAGCCTTCAAACAGCTGTTATATTTATCTTGTTAGATTGTTAGTGCATGTTCAAAATGTTGTACAAGATTTCCAAACAAGAACAATCTATTTTCACTTCACTAAGTGAACTAACCTGAAATGGGTTAATAATGATTTTGGAATATCATTATCAATTGTATGTATTCACTTCAGAAGATAATCTATGCATTCTTTCAACAAGGGGGATAAATGGGGAGAGGCCACACATATCTATTCTTTATTTTCCATTTTAAATGTTTAATTCAAATTTTACTACATTAGACTTCACTAAAGAGAACCAAGTCTCTCTCAAGTACAGTGCAACAGATGTTATCACTTTCACAGGTATATGTTTCTTAATATAAATGGGTGTATTCAGATAACAAATTCTTCAAATAAAACTGCCATATTCAAACATGTTATGCTTATAAAAAGCACACGGGACCTTTCATTTATTGAAGATACAACAATTGGCATATGCATTTAATCACACACACAAACACACACACACACACACACACAGTCCCACCAGTCGGTGTTATAGTTACCAGTTCCGAGTCTGGGTCAACCTAGTGGCCAGCTAGGTTGATCATGGGTAGGTAGGAGCCGGGTTCTGTCAGTTGCGACATGATGCTCCAGGGAAGTTTTGGCAGGACAAATTCAAAGTTTTATGGCAAGGCACCCTGTTCATATAGTGATGTTTTTTTTATTGGGACCAATGAGTTTTGTATCGTCATGCTGTCATTAATTGTTGTTTGATGACTGCTTGTTTTTTTTAATTTTTTTTCTTAATTCTTTTTTTTTTTTAGGGTAGTTATTTTATGCTGGTTTTGATTACAGCTATTTTGTTTTTATTGTTTTTATTGATAGGTGCCTGGTTTTTTTTTTTAGAGTTGTTAATTTGCCCTTCTTTGACATTTTAATAGGGGCCTGTTACAACCTTCTGGTTCCCTTGCATCTGTCTTTGGTTCCTTCCTAAAAGGTCTGTTACTGCCTTGAAATTAGCTCAGATACAGAATTATACAAAATACAAACATAAAATCCTATTACTACATATCCCTCTTGTGATGTTTCAAGAACAATTCTTGAGTGGGTCAATATACTGAGAGGCCATTTGAGCTTGTGGTTGTAATTTAACAAACATTTTTTTTGTTCAACAGCACATACAACACAAACCCAATTCTTTCAGCCTTCCTTCACAGGTCATGTTCTCAAGACCTTTAATCATTCTTGTTGCTCTTCTCTGGACCATCTCCACAAACAACACATTTCTAGCAAGGAAACACAGGATAATATTAACACAACTAATAATAGGTGAAATATAATAGACAATACGCCCTTAGAAGTCAGGGACCAGCCTGTAAAAATGTTGTAGCAGTGATAGGCTGTCAGGTTTTTTTTAGACCTAGCAATTTTTAGCATGTCTCTATTTACATGTAATATTTGAATGACACGCTTCCCTATATTCTTTTGTGTTTGTTGTAAAAACTAAGTCACCTTTGTTTCTGACAATAAGTGATTAGTTAGATCATGCCAATCCAGGCCAAGGGTAACAGAAAAATTAACTGGGGTGGTGATTATAGTGCTCTGTGCTTCTTCTATTTTTGGTAAATAGTACGTGTGTGATTGCTCATATATAATACACTGGCATTACATTTACATTCATTCACTGGGGGTTGGCTGATACTTGCATTTTTCCAAAATACTGTTTCCCAGGATGTAACACATACACATTGTCCGTTGTACAAAACATCCATCACATTTTTTAGTTTGTTCATAGATTCTAGGACTGGAAGGGACCTCGAGAGGTCATCGAGTCCAGTCCCCTGCCCTCATGGCAGGACCAAATACTGTCTAGACCATCCCTGATAGACATTTATCTAACCTACTCTTAAATATCTCCAGAGATGGAGATTCCACAACCTCCCTAGGCAATCTATTCCAGTGTTTAACCACCCTGACAATTAGGAACTTTTTCCTAATGTCCAACCTAAACCTCCATTGGTGCAGTTTAAGCCCATTGCTTCTTGTTCTATCCTTAGAGGCTAAGATGAACAAGTTTTCTCCCTCCTCGTTATGACACCCTTTTAGATACCTGAAAACTGCTATCATGTCCCCTCTCAGTCTTCTCTTTTCCAAACCAAACAAACCCAATTCTTTCAGCCTTCCTTCATAGGTCATGTTCTCAAGACCTTTAATCATTCTTGTTGCTCTTCTCTGGACCCTCTCCACATATTTCTTGAAATCCACACACATGTTCCCAATGAGGTATTTTGCTAGTAGGTTTTGTAGTGACAGGTAGGGACAAGCATACCCATTTCTGAGAGCTTCATTCTGTACACCCTCAGGTGTACAATAATTTTTTTAAAGTCTATTGATCTATAACCTGGGATAGCCAAAAGGATCCCATGGTCAATTTTGGGAGCAGGCTCAATTTTCGTATTTTTGTTTTTACAGACTGTTGGTGAGCAATTTTAACAATAATTTTACCTAATGACAAATCAGGCTTAACCATGCTGGAAACATATTGCATTCATTTATATGTGTAGGTATTGAACAAGGGCCTTTTTTGTTGTTTTAAAAACTGTGTTAATAACCTAACATTCCAAGGTATTACCCAAAAGATTTTGTGTTTAAGTGATGCTAAACTAAGAATTTACATTTCAGTACATTTTTTGGCCAAGGCAGTTTTATTTTTAAATTTTGTTTATACAGTAGTCAGGAGGTGGTGTTTAGCCACTGCCACATATTTTATGTTGCTTTTATGTTTCCCAAATCTATTTGTACCAAATCCACAGTAGTATTTGCCTGCTTGTGAATTAGAGTATTTTGCAGTTGTGACAAGGAACTTAACTTATTTTTAATTACCTTCAGGTTTATCATTCTTGCTCCAAAACCAATTTTTCCTAATATGGTGTTTGCTATATGCGGATATTTTCCTGTAAACAGACTGGCATTTTTTGACCTTCACCCTTTTGCAACATTGTTTTTTGTAAATATAGTTAAAATGCTTATTAATTTTTTTTTTTGCGTAATGCAGAAGGGTTTTTTTTATAACACAATACACAACAATGCTAGCAACAAGACAAACAACACAAGACAAAACATAAAACACAAAACACAATTTTTGTTACAAGAGTAGATTCATGGTATTATGATTTGCTTTTTAGCAGATACCAGCTTTTCTTGAAGTTTTGAAAGACAAAAAGAACATTTTTCTACCCCTTTTGGGATGGCAGATTATTGCTTAAAATATTCCTTTCTTTTACAAATATTCTAGCTGATTGCAGGCAAAACAGAGGAATTACCCCCATACTTTCCTGTGTTTTTGTTCTATAGGCAGGACAGATTTTAATGGCTTTTACCTTTTAAGGGTTTAGGGGAAATTATTCCACTATTTAGTTATTAAATTTATGAGGTGGTGTACCTCAAGTATTTTTTTCATACAGCAGACCAGGTTTATAATGTTTTTTTGCTGTGCTAAGCTTTAAGTTTATTTATAGGTAATAACTGAGAAGTATTATTACCATATGACCTTAGAGGTGGTTTTTTTTTTAATTATACACTTTACATTGTTACAGGGGTACTTATTAACATTACATTTATTCCAATGTTTAATATTAACAATAACATTAGCATCAAATTTATTAAAGGTATTTTGTTATACCATGTATTATATTTTTGGGGTTTTGCTGAAGGTAGGAATGTCATGCATATAAGCAGATGCCTTTTATACGTGTCTTTAGATTTCAGTACTGCATACACACACACTATTTTTTTATTATTATTATTATTATTTATTTTTAGGGTTAACCTGTTTTGTTTTTTTATTTTTATAATTTGAGCCTTTTCATTTTAGGAAGTTTGTTTGCTGACCAGGTATGTTCTTTATTTGAAGCTTCTTTGTGCTGCCATTTATAGGTAGATATATATATTTTTTTAGTTAGATAATTTGCATCAACACAGATGCTTTCTGGCTGGCTTTTGTATCCAAAGCCATTAGCAACTTAGAGACTCTCTTAAAAGGGACAAAATCAATTTTCACCAGAGTTCTGATTACTTTTTACCTTTAACTCCTGCTTCCAAAACACACAGCGATCTGAAAAAGAAAACCCAACCTATTGTAGCTCCGTTTGGAGCCCTAATAGGATTTTAATTAAGTATTATGTTTTGTTTGCATTTTTTTTACCCCTTTTACAATATACACTGCACGTGTCCTGTGAAAGTTTAACTTTTATAACATTATATTAACCATATTAATTTTTACATAAGGTGTAACTGGGTTTTTTTTTGTGCTCACAGAGTTTTCATGTCCCCTTATTAAAGTGACAGTCTGATTAGACAAATTACCTTAAGGCACTGTGTTTCTAACATTGCTTCTTTGTGCACCTTACTCCTGCTGTTGCTCCAGAGGGGCACTGTCTTTTAAAAAAAATTTAATGTTTTTATTATAGCTTTTATTTACTATTTTGTTACCAAAAACAAATTCAGATTTTTTCCCCCATTCTCCTGGTCTTGACTGCCCTGCTGCAGCCACGACTTTGTTTTTTTAAAAAGATATTGAACGTTATAAAGCATTAAGGTACCTAAGGGTTAAATGCTAAATACCAAAGCCAAACAACACTAGTTACCTGTGTTTGGCAAACAGTGTCTATCAGTTTTACAACTTTGAATTAAAAATTTAAATGGATTTTAGTGGTATTATTTAAAAACAAAACAAAACAAAAATCAATTTATTTTAAACCTACAAAACAGAGTTTTACAAACCAGGGAGTGTTGATTTAGGTCCTTAAAACCTTACATATTTACACAATATATTTACACACATATTTTTTTTAAATATTTTACAGTGCTTTAATTTTTACACAGCTGTACATAATTACATTTGTATACATTTGAGGGCAGTTAAGTTCCAATAGAAACTCCTTATGTTCTTTTAGCAAATTTGACTAAATTGTCCATAGTCAAATTATTTAAATCAGATTGTTTCTTTGCCTGACTTATTTACAGAAATTCCTTTGGAAAAGGCCCCATTTTCCCTTCAGAATGGCTAAAAGAAACTAGAATTATTTTATAACACTTTTTATATGAATGTTGTATGTGAAATACAGGCCCCATTGAAGCCAAAGGCAAAACTCCCATTGACTTCAATAGGGTTAGGATTTCACTCAGTATGCTCATGGCTGGATCTTTTCTGTAACTGTAGAAGTCTATCATACACATTTGTTGAGCTGGCCAAGATTCTACCCTCACTCACAGTTTTTAAAATAGTCCGAAAATGGTTTCTTTGTGTGCCTCTGTAAAGAGTATAACAACTCATATGCATCCACTTTATTTCCATCTTACAGTTACCAGTGGAGCAGAACTTTCAGTTGTACAATATCCCCAGGACATCAATGTGTCTCTTAATTCAACTGTTTTGATACTGTGTGAATTTGACTACCCAGATAAAACCATAAATAATACATTGACAGAGGTGTATTGGAGGAAAGACCCTACCAGTAATCAGCCGGCGCTCCAGCCAACCACAAGTACCTCTGATGTTCAAAAGTCACAGATACAAATTAAAACAGAACAGTCCAAAAAAATTTCAATCTTACGACTGGACAACGTTCAGCTGAAAGATGCTGTCATGTATTTCTGTGATGTATGGCTAACTTTTCCACCACCGGTAAGGCACAAATTTGGAAGTGGCAGCAGGCTGACAGTACATGGTAAGGAACTTTTGTAAGTTACAGAAATAGACTTGGGTGTATATAAAGATGAGCTAAATTACCCTCCAGTTGTATTGCCTTTTCTCCCACAGTCCCAGAATATTGCTGTTTTAATTCCACCTGATTCAAATTCAGGGCAGGGGTGGAAGAAGACTGGCTGGAGTTGTATGTACATGTGTGGAACAATGACAACAATACATTCCAAGATTTTACAAGACATATATATATATATATATATATATATATATATATAACACACACACACAA